GACTTATCAAGTGATGCTATTCTTGGAATAGGACACTGGGCAGTCTGTTCACTGGTTTTCCTTACTTTTGGTCCAGTCAGCCCTGGCCCCAAGAGGACTCAACACAGCAATAATACTAGCTGACATTCATTGAGCATTAACCCTGGGTAAGAAACTTTAATCCAGTTATCTCATTTATTTTATAAAATGACCTCATAAGGCAGGTGCTATTATTGTCTCCATTTTTAAGATGGGGAATTCAAGGCTTAGAAATTAAATATTCTGTCTCTGAACCTGGCTGCCTACTGCTGAGTCTTCTGTGAGGACTGCATCTTCCCTGGCCCTGTACCTCCTGGAAGGCCCAGGGAGTAAAAGTTCTAGTGGATAACTGGGAAGAGTGCAGGGACCCACAGGAGGGATCCTGGCTGTGGGATGTCTTCCTCATCAGGGCCTGGCATTTAAACATTCATTAGATTCTCCATTAAGAGAATGATAATAATAGAAAGCATAAACCTTTGTAGTTAGTAGCAATTGATTCCGTTTGGATTTTTTTTTTTAATAAGAAAGTCCTTGGCCTGCTTCTAGAGGGATCTGAAGACCTTCTCTTGTTTAAAAGTGAGCTCTATCAATACTGTGTTCAGAGCCTCCACATGAGTGCTATTATTTGAAGCTCATTTGTAACTTCTATCATTAAAAAAAAAAGGTGGAGTTACTAGATTTAGAAACCGAATAATCACATCATCCCTAAGTAAACATCATGATCATCTACCTCCACCTTCACATAACATGTACAAAAAATACTGGGGGTTATTTTTACTGGATGCCCTAACTACAGCCCAATGCCTTGCAGGGATCTCTCCTGCATATTATGCTGAAAAGAGTAAGTACTTAATTGTTACACAGAGTGATAGATAAGCTTGTCTTTCTATACAGATACCAGCTGCGGCATTTTCCTTTTTCATATAATTGCACCTGTTCAAAGCAAAGACCTCTGGGGTTTTGAATGAGTCAGCAAAAAGCAAAATTGAGTCCACAACCCACAAGCTCCCCCGCAACACATACACGTGTTTACACAGGTATACGCCTCGATCTGATCCCCTGGTTGGAAGACAGAACATTCAAACCTGCGCTTCTACCCAGGGGTGAGGATCTATTCTGGAGAATGAAGGATGAAATCAAGAATTTAAAAATACGGTCCAATGAGAACCACAGCCCCTTGTAAACCCCGGCTGTGCAGAACCACAGGTGGTCCAGTGAAGAAGACTGAGGAAGTCATGTGGCCATCATTGACATTAGCTCTCCAGAGTCCTGCCAGCTCTTTGGAGCAGAGCATTCCTGCAGGAGGATGGAGTCCCAGGTTGGAAAATAGAGAAACACACTTCCATACTTGATGTACATCAAGAAAGCCAAGAAAAAGTGTCTTGTCTGCCCCCATGAGCAGGAAGTCTAATCACAGTGTCAGCGGTCAATTCAAGCATCCTTGGTTTAGAATTTAAATGCCATAATATCCCATTTCATACCATGAGGAGGAGTTCTGAGGAAAACAGACAGTGGGTGTGAACCTGGGTTAGTTTCAAAATTAAAATTCATTTCCTTAATTTCCAAATACCATGGTGTTGTGAAAGGACACTATTGGAAAACTTGGCCTTATCTTTAACTCTGCAGCCTGGCACGTTACTTGATCTCAATTTATAAGCTGAGCATATTAATCCTTGCCTAATAGGCAGGGAAAGTTTTCAGTCATTATGGGCTGGTGTAGACCAATACAGCTGTACCATGTGTTAAAATATTTAGATATTTTTGCAGTGGTTGTTACAGAGCTGCATTCCTTGACCTCATGCCTGATCACTGTCCCCAAACTGCTGCCCTAGCCATCCAGGTTTATTTCTCAGAGTCTTCCTGGATTGGACCTGACCTAGATCTCTCCAGCAGCTAAGGAGTTAAAACCTGACCCTGCAGAGGGCCCCCTGAGACCCTGCTCCACTGCCAAGGCCAGTGTGGGCCCTAACCGGCCAGTGGTGCTCACCCCAATACTGGTTATCAAGTGGGTTGAACATGACCTTCACAGGCTGACTGTGGAGATGAAGTGGCATCATGCAACTGGACACGTATTAAAAGTCGCTGAACTCTCTGCACGTCGTAAGTACGTCCTAGAGAAAAGCTGCTTAGTTGCACAAGCTCACACTTAAGAGTAGCTGCTACACTGAAAGAATAACTTGGACTTTTAACTTCCAGCTCAGTGACATCTGCGGAAAAGGCACTGTTCATTTCACAAAGTCACACAAGACACAGTCATCACCTTCAAGAAGCCTAGTCTATTCTGAAGACCAGTTTGGAGAAAGGACATAGAAGCCAATCGAAAGAGCCTCCAATGACCAAGGTTTAAAAATTTGGGCAACACGACACATAACAATAGTACTGGATTATAACCCAAAGCATAACAAATATTTACATGTATGTAATGACATAAATACATGAAGAATAAGCAAATAAATGGGAGAGAAGAAACACATCTTCCTTACAGAAGAATTCCAATAATACATGTTGAAATTTTTCCTCTCAGCTAACACCTCTGCGCTAGATTTTCCACTTTGGGAACTATTTTACTCCAGGATGGTGTTGTTTGGGTGCTGCTGAGCATGCGATCCCTCCCTCTTCCACTTCACCATGCACACTTTCTGAGTAGTATTTTGACCTCTCTTTTTTAGGAATTCTCCATTATTTGTAACCATGGGGCATGTAGACAGGGATGGCTATTCCCAGAAGCTGCCTCTCGCTGCTGTTTCCTGAAACAGAAATGGAGGAGGTCAAACCTTGCCCTCAGCCTAACACATACATGACCACGAAGCCTAACTCACACTTTAAATCTCACATGTGTGATGCAAAGATGGTGGAAACCACTGGAGGTTGAAACTTGGGTGGTATCTTGACCAGAGCTAAGCTATGGTACCTGCTGCCAACCCTGTGGGATTTTCTTATGTTCTATTTTTTCAAGCCCGTTTCTCTAGCTTTCTTTTAATCCTGCAAGCCCTTGGTATCCTTCCCACTGGTTAACTCCCTTTCAATCTAAATCTGTTGCTTGCAAACAAGAAGCTGACGAATGAAGCTCTTTTATTCATATTTATCCACCTAGCTAGCGCAATTGTTCTCAAACTTCAATGTGTCTCAGAATCACCGGAGTACTCGTTACAAATGCCCCACTCCCAGAGATCTCTTCCACAAGGTTTGAGAGGGTGCCCAGGAGTCTGAGTTGAGTAAGCATTGAAAAGCACAATGTTTTTACAGACGGCCAATAGGTACATGAAAAGATGCTCAATATCACAAATAATTAGAGAGATGTAAATCAGAACTGCAATGAAGTGTCACCTCATACCGGTCGGAATGGCCATCATTTAAAAGTCTACAAATAATGAATGCTAGAGAAGGGGTGGAGAAAAGGGAATTCTACTATACTGTTGGTGGGAATGTGGTTTGGTGCAGCCACTATGGAGAACAGAAGGGAGGTTCCTTAAAAAACTAAAAACAGTATTACCATATGATCTTGTGATCCCACTTCTGGGCATATATCTGGAAAAAATTCTAATTCGAAAAGATATGTGCATCCCAATGCTCATAGCAGCACTATTTACAATAGTCAAAACACAGAAGCAACCTAAATGTCCATTGACAGATGAATGGATAAAGAAGATGTGAGAGATATATGTGTATATATATATGTGTCCTATATATATACATATATATATATATATATATATAGGAATACTACTCAGCCATAAAAAAGAATAAAATAGTATCATTTGCAGTAGCATGGATGCACCCAGAGATTATCATGCTAAGTGCAATAAGTCAGAAAGAGAAAGATAAATAGCATATAATATCACTTATATGTGGAATCTAAAATATGATACAAATGAACTTACTTATATAACAGAAACAGACTCACAGACATAGAAAACAAACTTATGGTTACCAAAAGGAAAATGGGATAGGGGAGGAATAAATTAGGGATTTGGGATTAGCAGATATACACTACTATATATAAAACAGAAAAATAACAAGATCCTACTATATAGCACAGGGAACTATATTCAATATCTTGTAATAAAGCATAATGGAGAAGAATATGAAAAGAACATATATATGTATATGTATATACATATATGTATAACTGAATCACTCACTATGCTGTACACCAGAAACTAACAACATGGTAAATCAGGTATACTTCAATAAAAAATTAAAAAAAGAAAAGCCCAATGTTTTTACTTGCTGGTCTCCACTGCAATATTTTGAGCACTATACATGGGATTCACTGACCTATCCTCTTGCCTAGTACAGAGCCTGGCTGGTGTGCCGGCTAGAATCACAGGAAAGTACTTTTAGACACAATGTTCATCCTCAGCCCCAGCAGCACTCCCAGGTGAACGCAAAACAACCTTCAATTTTGATGCCAAGATTGACCTCCCCCTCAAGGGCAGACAGTATAATCTTGGAATTTAAAGCCTACTAAACAGTATCAATAACATATCATACAAAAATTAATTCTCATGGTCAAAGAAGTCTGGAAAATGCTCTGTATTATCGTGGTCCAAGAGAAATATAATGCAAGCTACATATGTGATTTTAAGGTCACATTAAATAAAGGTAAAATAAAGCAGGTGAGATTAATTCTAATGATTTATTTAATTATTTCATCCACTATATCTAACATATTCCCATTTCAGGATGTAATCAATAGAAATGTTTAATGTCTATTAATGTTTGTCAAATGTGATACTTTCACAAAGAAAAGATTCTCTAACTTGTCTTTCGTACTACATTGTGTATTTTGCACTTTCAGCATATCTTAGCTCAGATCTCAATAGCCATGTGACAAGGGGCTGCCTACTGGACAGCACATCTCTACATACAATATACCTATCTTAGGGAACATAGAGCACATTAATTCGTTAAAAGCTTTGAGAAATTATATCCTGAGAGTCTATCCTAAGATCTACTTAACTTTTTTTTCTTTTTTTTTTTCAAATAGGAAACGCTTCACAAATTTCCATGTCATCCTTGCGCAGGGGCCATCCTAATCTTCTCTGTATCATTCCAATTTTAGTATACGTGCTGCCAAAGCGAGCACCTACTTAACTATCTCAGAAGTTCTAAAACCTGTTTCACCATGGAACACGTGCGCATGTGCGCACACACACATGCACAAACACACACAAATGCACACACACACTGACTTTGGAATACCTATTTAAATCTTACAGAATTAGTCCTTCTGAATACAATACTTTCAAAAAGAAAATCACTACTTAGAGATCAGCCTATGCAGTAGAATCTAGATGACATGGTGAGGGTGTGCACACAAGGAAATGTATGTCTGAGGGTGTATGTGTGGTATCTGAGAGTACTTGTAGGTATACATGAGTGGGGTGTGTCGGGGTGTGGGTGTGAGGGTGTATATGAGGCTGTATGAGCTGTGCTGGGAGAGTTGTGTGCTTGCTGGAAACTGTCAACAGAATTTTTTTTTAAGTAAAACTGAAATGTGTTGTTTTTTTCCCTCATGAGAGTCCCTAAGGTAAAATATTATTTGATCTCTTTATTTCCTCATGAAAATTACATTCTTCAGATAAATACTTTAAATTTTTAGTCTATTTGTTTCTTAACACTAGAGGTGAACCAAAGAACAACTGCTTGGGGAAAGTAGGAACTTGGATTTTCTTTCTGCTTTTGTAGCTGCTGTAAAATTAATAGAGTTAAGGCTACCGAGGTAGAACTGGGAACAAAAATGTAATTAAGAAGCATACATTGAGCTTCCTTGTATTTGTGGTTAGAATGATACAATATCTTCAGGAGCTGGATTCCTGTCAAATGTTCCTTCTTACTTTTAGTATTAAAACAAAAAATTCCAAAGCACTACCACTTGCCAAACAAATCCGGAATCATCTTCCCAAAGGCAGAAAGATATCAACTCGATTGTTTTTTTATTACAATAGAAGTAAGAATACACTCCAAAAGAAACACAATGAAACAACTCCCAGGGGAGGGAAAGACTGAGTTTGCCATGTGGCGTAAGTCCTTAGTTCAGAACATGCAATGGGAATATGGCCAAGCAGGTCTCTAAGGTGTTCATTAGCACTAATGGGAGGGACGTGGCCAAGACACGTAATAAGTGTGCAGCTTGGGAAGTGTGGGATTATTCAGAGAGGACAACTAACATCTGAGTGATCAACACTTTGAGCATTTGTCATCTCGGGGCCTCTTCCTTTTCAGAGAGTGTCCCCCTGTCATTTTTAGTTGAAAAATAGAAAGTAGAAGACTTCTCCAGGCATGGATAAAGTGGTACATTATTTTATTATAATTACCAGACTGGCTGAAAGAACTTAAAGTCCTCAGTCCTTCCCTTATTCCTTTTAGATTCAGAAGGTGGACTTCGGGGGGGGGGGGACAAACATGTGGTACCATTAAAGAATCATTTGGATTTTGCTTTAGAAATTTGGTGACAACCACGACTCTTCTGCCAAGGACTTTGATAGATCACTGGAGCCTAGATTTGGTGGAGACTGCTGCTGGCAGCATGAGGTTGGAGTAAATGACACATATGATGGGACACAAAAGTACAGAGGAAGCCAAGTGTTCATGTTCTGATACGGCCTCATGATGCACGGTGTGACCTCGAATAACTTTTCTAACACAGCTACCCTATCTGTCCAATGGGTAACAAATTCATACCTCACAGGGCACTGAAGCTTCATTAGTATACATAAAGCCAAACTTGGAATTGTCCTGGTGCTGTTTATTACTCAGATATTCAGGTTTGGAAGCACAGAAAGACAATGTAACTCACCGCATCCTGAGTTAGAGGACAGACTCTTAAGCCCTTTGTAAGTTCCTCGCATCAAGATGGCTGTTTAATACTTTCTGTGTTTTGACAGTTGCGTCAGTGACACTAGCCGTGAGTGGTAATCAGCTACAGCAGACGTGTAAATGACCAACGTTCACCCTCAGTGGAACAAATGACACTTTTCAATCATCTAAGTGATCAGGCCTGTGTAGTTCTGTTGAAATGATGATACAAATAAGTTCAAAATAAGAAGCTTCTTATGTCGTGAATTTGAGAAAAACAGTGATGAGAGTCTGAAAATGTTATTAACTAAGACTGGAAATAAATCTCTGTTTCTCTGATGGTACAGCAGACTAAGTAACTAAATTTTAGGGACTATTTTGTACAAACGTCTTTCTTTGAAGTAAGGGGAATTGCATATTTTTTTTGCTTGTGTGTGTGTGTGTTTGCAGTATACACTGGTTGAATTTGCTTACGCTACAGTTCCACTGCTAAGCAGCTGGAGGTCAAGAATTGTGTTCTTAATACCCACTACGTAGGAAGAAGCATTTAATGGGTGCTTATTAATGGCTTTTGGTGTTAGTGCAGTAACTAATTGTAGCTTTTTATGTAATTACTGATTAGAACAGCCTTGTCTGAGCTACTGAAGAAAACAGAAATGTGCTGTGTCAGTGCTCTGGAGTCTCTGACAAACACATTAGAGCATCCCTATCAGAGTCTACTAGCTCTTGATTCTGGTTCCTTCCTCTTACCTCACTGCACAGATTCACGCTAGCAAAGCTCCTATCCCACCCTCCCTGTCCAGATCTGGCCAGTAGCCATCATGAGGCTGTTGGGAGGCAGACACCAAGGACCCCGTCTGTCTGCTATGCCTACAGTCTGGCCTGGCCCACGCTCCAGTTCCTCACTCTTCGCTTGTGACTCCATGGTCACACCTGTGATTTCAGGTATCTGGGTCCATAGGCCAGTCTGCAACCTGCTCAGTTCTCTTTGTTTGCCAATGTGGGATGTGCTGACCACCGGAATGTGAACCACAGCCCCCTACACGCAGGGAGGATTGTTGGTGAAGCCTCTGCTGCCATGTCTGAAGTGCATCAGTGTGCCTGGGCTCAGGCCACGTTTCCCGTGGCCAGTGACGGAGTATGGCAGGGGTACAGGACCCTGATGGGGTGACTTTGGCTTGAGAACTCCTGATGGCCTTGCCATAGTTTCCTTAGAACTGTACCCAGAACTTCCCTCTCTCCTTCATCTGAAACAGATTTGCAGCAAGGTCTGATGGCTTTCCCAGCCCCTCTGTTTTCTCTCACAGCCGTTTCCCCAAATACACTTTGTAGGTTTAATCCCATATTAGGATTTGTCTCTGAAAGGACCTAAATTAACATATTGAATGTGGGCTTTTGTACAAGGGAAGGCAAATTGTATACAGGGATGTTAATCCTATGAAGAGTTCTGGCACTGGACCTGAAGCCACAGAGTTTAGGCAAATATGCTACCAATCCTCCTTTCTGTACCCATGACAGACATTGGTAAACAAGCACACCTATGCCTGAAACAGCAGTGCTGAGTTAGCAACTGGCCATCAGCACAAGTGCTTATGGACACCAGGCACTTGTCATTAGGTTTCAGAACTGTCTGCAGAACCTAAGTGCGAAAGCGATGAATCATGACGATTTGATGTGAGGAAGTTTGGTCCTTCACCAGGATTCTTTTGTCAAGTTTTTCTAGCAACTCCCAGGGAATGCTTGCATGTTCCAGGAGTCTGTGCTGGTTGGTGCACGCCACCTCCATCAGTCCTCCAGCTCTGCATCTCTGCACTCTCCCCTTGCCACTACCGCTACACAGCAGGCCATTTTCTACCACTTCTAACTTTTTTTTTTATCAAATGAGATTTTAAATTTTTGTATTAAATAAATGCATGCACATGACTTTAAAAGTTAAAAAATTTATCCCTTGCACTGCCCTTCATTTATGTCCCACAGAAGCAACGCTTTCTTAACTCTTCTAGCTACTTCCCCTAGTATTTACCTTCTTATTTCTAAAATTTTGCATGTACTGCCATTTCTGGTTGATCAATTTAAGAAAGTATCTATTGACTTCCCTACATGCTACATTAAGACTTAGCCCATCGCCATGTCCCACCATTTTCCTTTTTCTCAACACTCCAACAGAGTCTTAGGTTTTACTAAAACAATAGTCAATGTTTACATTATTAAATTTTGCAAATCTTATTCAACTCACTAGAGTTATGCTTCCTTTTCTTATTAATGTATAGTCAGTTACAATGTGTCAATTTCTAGTGACCAGCACAATGTCCCAATCATGCATACATACACATTTATTTGTTTTCATATTCTTTTTCATTAACGGTTATTACAAGATATTGAATATAGTTCCCTGTGCTCTACAGAAGAAATTTGGTTTTTGTCTATTTTTAGACTGATGCTTCCTTCTATGTCCAAACATATATCTACTGAGTTAATGCTTTTATAATGATTATTATCATTATTATTATTAATTTTCTTGGTTCCTAGAGCCCTCCCTCCAGGAGCCCTCTGTCCTCCTGATCCTGTCTGGGCTGATTTTTCCCTTCACTTGCTGAAAAGCTGCATTCCTAGGGCTGTCTCTTTGCCAGTCTTCAGGATGATATCCCATATTTTACTCTGTCTCGTCATCTCACTCTTTCTTGGTTTACCCTTTCATTTTGGTAGGCTGTCAATACTCAGTCTGCTGTTGGTGTTCCTCCTTGTATCATTTCACTCCAGGATTTTCCAAAGATTGAGAAAGACGTTGGTTTATTAACTCCTTGCCCACATGAAAATGTCTTTATGTCATCCTTGCACTTATTTAGATAGTTGTGTATTTCTAGGATGAAATCTACAGTCTAGAAGTAAATCTAAATCTAGGATGAAAATATTTGTTCTCTTCTTAAAAAGGCACTTTTTAAGATTCCAACGTTGCTGTTGGGTTGAGAGATCTAACATCATCCTGTTTCCAGTTCATCTACTGTTTCTTCCTTCTTGGAGCTTTTAGGGTCACCTTTTCTCCTTTGAGCTATGAAATATTACCACAGTATGCCTTGGCATGGCCTCAGCTTTGGCCAGAGAGAGAGACTGTTGTGCAGAACGTTTACTGGGGACTGCTCTTGGAAATGACACCTAGGAGGGGTAGGGAAGGCGGGATGGGGCAGAGGGAGAACTTGAACTGTGACAGAGTTGCAACAGAGACTTCAGTCAGTTCTGTGGAGAGCTCTGACAGCCAGCAGGTCCTCCTCTGTGAGGAGGGACAGCACT